TATAATTATATTTTAAGTTGTAATAATCAAAATCTTATATTTTTTTGTTATTGTTATTTTATTATTTAACTTGTAATAAAATAATAAATTGTAGATTATTGGTTTAAGCGACAAATAACAAAGGAAATGACATATTCTCCGTATGTGTTCTTTTTTTATAAAATACAAATATATATTTGATTGGGAAACTATTATACAAGTGATAAACGTTATAGTCGTGAAATCACAATTAATATTTTAGTTGTTTTGCATTAATATTAATTAACTTTTATCGATGTGAAAAGAGTAATCGTTTAAAGTGTATCAAGTTTAAAATATAAATGAAATAATATACTTAATTAAAATAAAAATTATAATTAATCAAATAAACTTTGTTTTAACAATCCACGAAGGAAAACTTCCAAGACTCATAGAATGAATTAAATATAAACTCGAATAGTTAATCGTTGTTGTTGAAACGAAAAATTGATCAATTATATTAAAAACAAAAATATGTCTTTCTTTGTATTGTTGTTATTTTTTTAAAGGTAAAATTTTTTTGCCTCATTAATAACCATAAAAATAAAATTAATAATGTTTTGATGATGCAAAAATATCAAGTTTGATATAAACTTGTAAATAACAAAAGAATAAAAAAACTGCATTGATTTATAGTGGTTAAAAGCTTTAACATTTAGGAATGAATCCCAAAAAATGATTCTACTTATCAAATATTTGATTGATTGTACACACGATTTTGTTTTTTTTTCTTTAAAAAGATGATAAACAATAATTAAAAATGTTTAAATGGACTACTTGTTTGAAGCTCTGGCAACACAAATCGATCGTTATAATAACATTAGGTCGGAAAACGACATTAAATGACATTGTTTCGGGCTCAAAGGATAATTCAAGCATGACAACAAAGGAACAAATTGAAATGTATGAAGGAAAAATGGACAAACTCGAAGAGAAGAAAGAAAGGAAAAAGGTGTTAATAAAAACATTGAGAGAACTCCTCGGACTTCTTCAAGAAACGAAAGAGTGTATTGATAAAGAGTTATACAAATTAGAAAATGAAGATCAGAAAGAAATCAATAAACTTATAGCCAAACTTATTTTTCTCGAACACGAGAAAATAAATAAACACATAGATGAAAGTGGAGAACAAACAAAAGAAGAATAAGTTGAACGTTTTAATAAAAGAGTTCAACAATTAAGATTACTTCCCACAAACAAACTTAATTTTACTGATGAAATATTTTATGAAGAAACTGTTGAAATCAAAAAGTGGACAAACATGATTCCAACAAGTGTTGTTTTTGACTCAAATTTTAATTACTACAGTAGATATTATAATCAATTTTGGCCTGCAATTGAAGGAAAAAGAAATTTATTGTTTGTATTTGAAGACACTTTTAAAAACCGATTTGGGTTTCGAGTAGCGAATGCAATGAAAGAACAAAGTGTGAGATTGACTAATATGAAAATATTTTATTTTGTACTACGTGATGGATATTATGATGAAAATTTCACAAAAACTAAAGTTGACAATAACGCTGCTTTTTTGTTTTTGATGACAAACATTCTACTCTTTTTAAGTTGAATAATAAGTTTGATATTCGAAAAGATTGGGTGACAGAATAATTTGGATCAAATATTTTAGAGTGAATATTCTAATGTTTTTCAATAATATGTAAAAATCCTTTAATTAAACGGGAAAACATTATTAATTTATCAAAACAATTTGTTATTTATATTTTGACAAAAACAACGATTTATAACCTTAAATAAATACAACAATAAATTAAACACATAATTTTAATTCATTATTACCATTTTTCAAAAAAAACTTAACAAATTATTATATTTTATTTTTTTATCATTCAATGTTACATTCAATATATCGAAGTATAATTACAATATTAAACTCAATTGTACCATATTAAAAATGTCTTTTTTATTGGTTATTGTTTTTTATCAAATAATTTCTATTATACAATCAAATGTTTATATGTTTTAATATTTTTTTTACAAAAACAACAATACCAACCACATTATTAGTAATTTTAATGATTTAATTGTCATTTTTGGACTTATTTATACGTTTAGCTTTTTTGTTCTTAGTTGTTGACTTTTTCTTACGTTTACCATCACCAACAAACCTCCTGCGACAAGGACATATATAACCAATTTCGTTCTTCTTTTGAATTGTAATTCTTGAAATCACCAAAACGTTTTTATCTTCAGTTTCTATTAATTCATCTATACCATTATCACACTCAACACAAACACTTTTTCCTTTGCAATCTTTGATAGTACTCTTTTGTTCAGTATTATGTTTGGAATTATCACCATCACAATTAATTAATTGGTCATTTTTTTCTGTCATATATTCATCATCGTCATTGATACAATTATATTTTGCATAATCTTTAATTTCACCGACATAATTTTCATCACACTTTTGATAATTAATCAAATCTTTCTTGAGATCAATAGTATCTTGTGTATTAACGTCCAACTCATATAATTTTGTCCATTTAAGATGGTCCACATTATTAATTATTTCTTTTTGAAAAATGTTTTGTGAACTACTATTACTATAATAGTTTAATGTCAAATTGTATATTTTAGTGGGTCTTTTATAAAAGTGGTTGTTTCCAGAATCCATTTGTTTTATTTTGTTTATTTCGCTTTCTTCAATTTTCATTAAATGAATAATTAGTTTTCCGATTGTAGGTTTTTTGCATGATAACCTTTTGACAAGTGATGAGTGATAACATTCACTTAAATTATCGGTTCTGATTTGTTGATTAAATTGACACCATATACGGATAGGCCATTTTTCTATCCAATTCACTTGAAAATAGTCCAGAAGTTTAAAAACGCCCTCATGAGAACCATCTTCAAAATCTTCCATTTTTATATGTCTTCGGATTTTTTCAAACATCAATGGAATATCACTAGGTTTGTAAAATGCTATAGTTTTTAATTTGCTGACAAGTTCCCAAATTTCAGAACCCGGATTATAATAGGATGACAGTCCAACTGTTTGAACTTC